AAACATGCATAAAGAGAGCACTAATGGGTATAATTTCCCACTCACTTTGCACAGGTATAAATGATTCCACAACCAGGAAGCAATGAAGGATTACACCCACTGTGCTGATTAAATCAGTTAAGCACAGTGTACATTCCCCCTGGCTATGCTTCCTGGCACAACTAATTCCTTCTATTGAACCTCTGGGACTTAGGCCAGGACTAAGCACAGGTGGTTCCTCAAATCAGGAATTCACTTCCCCTACTGTCTAACAGAGCCTGAATCCTGGTATTCAAATCACTATTTCACGCAAGACTATAGTAGGAGAAACTTAATTTCCAAAGTTCACATAGATTGCTTTGAGCCTGTGCAAATTAGGATGGACTAAGTCTGCTAGAAATAAAACATTTTATAAGGAGTTACTAAGGTCATGGTCACTGGTCACTGGTGCAGCAATGGCATTGTCAAGTATCACCCTAGAAGTGACTTAAGGCCCACACACTTTCTTTGTGTGCAGCAGGGATTATTGCCACCAAGAGAAATACTCAACTTCCCATCCAGAGTGGGGTCGTGAAGATGCTGTGTCTCAAGTCAGAACTCTGCCCTGCATCTCATGATCTTCCAAACACAACTGGCAGGAAAATGCACTCAGTAGAAAATATGATATGAGTATACATGGGGATGAACATGACCTGGATAGCATTTTCCTGAGGGATTGCATTCTGGTTTAAATTTATGTCACTGAAGAAACTGATTAACTTGTTATTCTCTCTTCAGATGAGGAAGACTATCTATCTATATATCTCTCTCTATATATATACAAACACAGGTGAATATGGAGGAACAGGAGAAATACGTATATACAGAGAGAGAGAGAGAAGGTCTAAATACATTAAAGATGAGTTATTATGCTCTTCTGTGTAATAAGATTATTTTTTCCAGGGAAATTCCGTATTTCTTTAAAAATTGAAAATTATCTAGGTGTTATTTTCTAGACATATGTTATATATGCCTTAGAACGGGCAGGAAGACTGTAAGGTCTCTGGTGAAAGGCTAAGTAATCCAAAATCTTCTAATTAGGGTGCCAAATATTAAGTACTTAAGTATGTTGTCTTACACAGATACTGCCAGGTTGCATTATCATTCATTTCTAGAAAAATCTAAAAGTATATTAGTCCTCCAAAAGCAATCTGACAGTCTGAGAAGCTTTCTTGCTGCAGTAGACAATATTGGATAAACAAGAGCTGGAGCTCAGGGAAAGGATGAAGTTGAAAAGATTATCAATTTGCCAAGTGAGGACTAATGAATGACACTGTGCTAAGGATCAAGTCTGGCCATTTTTTACTAAAATAATGTCTTGGTTTGACAGCTTCATGCAGGCATCACACCAGGAGTGAAAAATCACCTGGGGCACTGAGATAATCTGAAAATAACAGAGAGAATTTAGGATGGTCTCAGCTGAAGAGCTGAGAAGTCCATGAAAATTTGCCAAGTGAGGACTAATGAATGACACTGTGCTAAGGATCAAGTCTGGCCATTTTTTACTAAAATAATGTCTTGGTTTGACAGCTTCATGCAGGCATCACACCAGGAGTGAAAAATCACCTGGGGCACTGAGATAATCTGAAAATAACAGAGAGAATTTAGGATGGTCTCAGCTGAAGAGCTGAGAAGTCCATGAATAGAGTCAGAAAATAAACCAAATGTGGATAAAAAAAAAGGCTGGGGCAAGATTCCATCAGGAAAGGTGTGATTTAAGCAAAATACTGTCAAGTCCATGTTCCACAGAGAACTTATGCATTTTACATTTTGGATGTATGTGTTATGACAACTCATACCAGGTCCTAAATTGCACATCTTGGATCTTGCATTATTTTGTACACTCAGAGTTCTTTTCTTATTCAGAATCTCAGAAGATCTGCTGTTATATCATTCCAGCATCACATACATAAACTAGGCAATTCCAGCAAGATACTTCTCTGGAGCATCTCACCACTTAGTCCCCTTTTCCTTAGCACATCATTGTCACAGTTTTCCCCTGGCTGGCAATTGAGTACCACACAGCTGTTCCCTCACTCCCCACCTACCATCCCTTCCCACTGGGGAGGGGAATCAGAAAGAAAAGGTAAACCTCATGGGTTGAGATAAGAACCATTTAATCATTGAAACAAAATATTATTATCATAAATATGTTAATAATATTAATAATTGTAACAACTGGAGAAGGAGCAACAGAACCCAAGAGAAACAAGTGATGCACAATGGAATTGCTCCCCACCCACTGGCTGATGCCCAGCCTGTCCCCAGGCAGTGGTCAGTGGCTCCCAGCCAGCTCCCCCCAGTTTGCATACTGGGCAGGAAGTTCTATGGTTTGGAATATCCTTTTGACAGTTGGGTCAGATGTCCTGGCTATGTGCCTTCCCAGCTTGTGCAGCTCCTCACCAGCAGAGCATGAGACACTGAAAAGCCCTTGACTTGGGGTAAGCACTACTTAGCAATGACAAACATCAGTGTGTTATCGACATTATGCTCGTGCTAAACCCAAAACACAGCCCTGAAACAGCTACTAAAAAAAAAATGCACTCTGTCCCAGTCAAAACCAGAACAGTTATCTACAATTGATCGTATTACTTCAGTGCTAGAAGAGACATTCAGTGCATTGCAGAATTATTGGCTTGCCTTGTCTTGGCAACTCCTGTTTGTTATTCTCACTCTTACCTTGAAAAAAATGATCAGTACATCCCACTTCCCAAAATCCCAACAAAGCAAGGTAAGATATAAACAAAACACCTCTCTGTGGTATTAACATCATTCCTTTTTTTAATAAGAATGTCCGAAATGCTCTATAACCAAACAGGGCCAGCAGCATCAGCAGCTTTCAGATTAGAAAGCAAAATGTAATTTAGAGAAATTTATGCATCCTTGAATGACTCTTCAGACTGGTCAACTCTACACTGCCTGGCAAGTTATAGTTGACACTGAAGTTTTTACTTCCCCTGATTTAACTTCTCCATTAGTAGAAACCTTAAAGCTCATATAAAATACATATGGTCTCTTATTTCCTTGAGCTTTCAGTGAAACATTTCCAATTCTACAATGCATGAGAAATAAGGTCTGCCAGAAAAGCGCTGGGGACTTTGTCTATAAATATCAGGAGCTGATACAGAGTTTCCTATGAATATCATTCTGGAGTGGTTTGGATGTTTTTACACATACAGCAATTTGAAAAGAAAGTCTTTGCATAAAGGAAGGTACAATAACATTTGTAAGGGTTGAACAAAATCTGCAACAATTACATCACTTGTTAAACTTTTAGAACAAATTTGAGCTATTTTTTTTTACCCTTTTATGTTCTCATCTGTGTTTGGGTTTGTACTTCACCTACTTCTGGTAATTTTTTGTCCCATTAAAGTTATATAATAACAGTGAGCCAGGTCACAGCCTTCTCCTTAAAAAGGTTTGCATGGAAGTAATACAGCTACTGTTTAAAGAGATCTCTGCCATAATAGAACAGAAAAACAATTGAAATACCAATGCTATTAATAGCATATATGAAGGTGAAGGAATAGGTAATTCCAAAATTGAAAAAATAATCACTTCTCAGGAAGTTAATACATGATACAGAGAGATCAAGAATGAGTCATACTGTAATTTTATGGCTTCAGTTTTACAGTACTGCTGATGAGTGGTGGTTTTTTTGGTTCTAAGGATTTTTTTGATATATGAAGGACATACACATATCTGTGAATTAAGGGGATAATCAAACTGGAGTTACTTAACTTGGTCGTCCATATTCAGCCATATCTCCTTGTAAACTGCACATATAAACTGTGTGGGGTTTTATGGTTTTGGTTTAATTATAACATAATTAAATTAAAACCTGTTAATCCCTGGAATGTGGACATTCAGATTGAAAAAAAAAATAACATAACAAAGAAGCACCAGCTGAAAAATGATCTCTGAAGTTTCTTCTGTGGTCAGGTTCAAAGGGATTATTGTGGGGGAAATTAAAATTTTAATTATGCCTGAAAAGAGGGAACTCAGTGTTAACTAAAGGTACTGATCTAAGCAGAATACACATTAGCCACAGAGTCTCTTTGATAATGCTGGAAAACTCTCTCACTCTGAATTTGCAAATCATATCCTGTTTCCGTTTGAGACTTCTCTGGGCTGCATTGCACTGAATTGCAATGAAGTCTTTGTAGCCTGAGGTTCTGTAGTTCCTTTGCAATCAAGATTTCCCAGGAGTGCTGTAATCTGAAGGAAAGATGAGAACTAGGGGATTTTCTTTTTTTTAAGTTTAGAAAAAAATACATCAAAAACTGAAGCTTTGCTGTATCCCTGAATCCAGATGGAATTTAGTTAATAGTTTGAGAGGGGAAAAGAACCTGAAAAAAGAATCACAAACTACTGAATGGGAACGATGTGTTATGTACACAGGAGTAATTTATAGTCTGGCTTTTGGGGACACTTAGGAAATGTGGGTTCAATTCATTTTAGAGGAGATAATACAACACAAGATCTGCAGGAAAATAAAGAATTAATTATTGACACAGCCTTGCCCCGAAGAATAGTTGAGAACATGAATAATTTAGGAAGTGAATCTGAAAGCATGCAACATTTGAGAACAGAGCTGGGAGCACATTAAGAGGGGCAGCACAGTGACTGGAGGATTGCTGGACCACCACCACACACTCAGCTGCTGCAAGAGGACTACACCAGGCAGTTGCAGGTTATAGGTTTGTCTTGGGTAGAAGGGAGATTTTATCCTTGAAATCACCAAGTTACCTAAGTGAACCTGCAAGAATGTTTACTTTCACAGTGTGGAAAATCCATCAGTTCTTGAGCTAGACCAGTTTTGAAGATGTATGCAGGTATTTGTCATCAGTAGATCTGGTGAATCACTTTAATGTACGCACACATGTATATACACACAGTGACATGGAATAGGAAAACCCTAATTACATAAAATGTTGCATTTTTAACATATTATTCTATCTTCTTGTGCTTTTGTTTTACAGGAGACTATGTAGTCATGTCTGTCTTCTTTAACCTGAGCAGGAGAATGGGTTATTTCACTATTCAGACCTACATTCCCTGCACACTTATCGTTGTCTTGTCCTGGGTCTCTTTCTGGATTAATAAGGATGCAGTTCCAGCCAGAACATCACTGGGTGAGTTGTTTTTTATCCTGCCTTTATTCAAGCATTATGATGTTTAAATGGTACATCTGCAGATCACCAGTTTTTAAATACAAGAGGCAATTTCACATGGACTTTCCTCATTTAGAGGGATGTAGTAAATTCCAAGGAATAACACAGACTAATCCATATTTGTATCTCCTCCTTTTTACTGGGTCAGAGTCTGAGTATTGTACATTGCCAACAATAAAAGTTTTTGCATTTTTTCTGATTACAGCAGTATTTTTTATAAACATCAAGAGGATGGGGAACATTGCTGGATTAGAGCTAAGGATGCATTAGTTTCCATATCCTGGTGATTTGCAATACAAACACAATAACTACCAAGAAGGACTCCACCTTTCTGGCTAGTTGTGTGCCTTAGGGGTAAAAAGGGGAGAATGTGGCTTTTGACTTCTATTTTAGGGACCAGCAATCAAATGTAGACTTCAGGCCAAAAAAACCAGCTGAATTTGGTGGTATCTAAAATCCTATACATGAAAATGTGACATGCAATTAATCAGAATTTTCTACACATTTAGCAACTGCTCCACAAATAAACTAAGACCAAATTAATCTTGCTTGTGCAAAACAGCTGTAGCTGTAAGAAACAGCAAAGTAGAAACATTCAAGTAGAGAAACACACATATTTTCTACTTCTTGCTAAATCTACTACAGCACAGAGCACTGGAGTGCAAAATGAGGGACAACATTTTCATTCCAGACTCCCCTGAAAGAAACATGAGACTAGAGGACGAGTGGCTCTCATGACAGAAAGTTTTAAGCATTTCATTCTCTTTTTCACAGCCTCTCTAAAAAGGGATTATAAAATCCGCTTGAAAGAAGTAGAAAATTAATAAAGGCATTCAGCTGTTATTTTAAATGTTACTCAGATACACAAAATGACTTGTCCCTCTTCTGGGAACTAGTCTATTTGTACCACTAAGAAGGTAAAACCAGAGGTATGAAATTTGCCATATAAAATGTGATGAATTTTAACTGTTCTGATGTATTTTTAATGCTCTTCACATCATTGTACAGGGAATAATGTTCTGAAAGGGGAAGAGATGGTGAGACATGTCACAGTACTTCTTAGTTATAGACTCCTTCTAGCTCTCTTTAAGGGTTTGAGCACATAAACCCTAAACTTTAATATTTCAATAAAAATAAAGGCTCCCTAGAAGTAAACTACAATACCAAAAACTTAAATTAAATTTCTTAGTATCAGAATCCATCTAACCAAAGTATTCTACAGAGCAGCACTGGCAGTGACCATGCAAAAATGCCTCATAGCCGTGTTAATCCTCTAAGCTCTCACTGGATCCACATTTCACTGCTGGGATGTGCTGTTTAATATATTTGTTCTACATTTGAACTCCAGGCGTACTTCACAACCAGTCAGAGAGAGATAACTGGCAAAATTAGTTTGCTGCTTGAAATAATAATATTTCTGTTGTTTTCTATCTATCTACTAGGGATTACAACTGTCCTGACAATGACCACCCTAAGTACAATCGCTCGTAAATCTCTTCCCAAGGTCTCCTATGTGACAGCAATGGATCTTTTTGTGTCAGTCTGCTTTATTTTTGTTTTCTCTGCACTGGTGGAATATGGAACTTTGCATTACTTTGTCAGCAACAGAAAGCCAAGCAAGGATAAAGACAAAAAGAAGAAAAACCCAGTATGTATCTTTTTACCAGCAAGGCCTAAAATTAAATTAGTTTTTCTGAGAGAGCATTTAAATCCTTCTCTATAATTGTACTTTTTTCATACTTTGCTATTACATATATACTTTCCTTTGTAATAAGTGGAACGCAAACATTCACCTTGAGAATGAAAAGCTCATATATTACAGTTGTCTGGATGCCAGAGAAACTAATTTCTTAAAATAAAGATCCTTTAAATCGAAGTGTTCTGCAAATCATACTATCACCAAACCCATTATTTATGCTATAGACAGAGATCTTGCTGTGACCTTTATGGAAAAGCTCTAAGTTTCTGTCTTAGCAGTAGCAATATTCTATGCCATTAATATATGCCTGTGTTATTGACATGACTCTCTTTCTTATTATCAGGACTACAGTTAAACTTTTATATTCAGACTACAGTATGTGCTTTTTCTAATTTCCCCTTAAGCATCTGTTTCCTTTCCATTGTTTCCTTCTTTTTCCTCTATTTCTTACCTCCTTTATCTACTTCTCTCCCTTAGAAAGTGCTTTAGCTAGTAGTTTATAAGGATACTTATGGATGCATGCTACCCAATACTAAAAAAAAAAAAAATGTAGAGGATAGCAACAATAAAATTGTCCTGGAAATACCCTCAGTAGGGATATTGGGCTTTTGCCCAGATGGGGAAAAAAATAGTTGCTTATTTTGTTCAGGACAGATTTCTCTTTGCCTTTTGCAACCAAGCTGACAAGTTTGTTGTCTAGAATCTCGAAAAGAATTAGTGTAAAATCCTAGAGGGATAAGTAGCCTAGTAGTCTATCAAAAAAAATTATCCTATGAAAAATGTGAAGAACAAGTGTTTTACATTAATAGAGACTATTTTCAAATCCATTTCAGGCATCTAGCAAAGAATAAAGTCATTTGGATTTGCTGCGCTAAAATATTCAAGGACATTTGAAGATATTCTTTCTTGGTTATAACATAACAGCACAAAAAGGATATAGAAAAACTAGCAATTAAAGAACATTTTACTACACTTTATTCCTATAATTTCAACTTTAAAAGCTGCTGAGAAGTAAACTGTACTAAAATGAAATAAAATGATAAAGTGATGTGCCCTGGGCTTTCTTAGGAAGAAACAAAAGGGGGTGTGTGTCTTACCCAATTAGGTAAACTAGCAACAAGTAAATACCTCAGGTTTAGTTGTCTGCTTTAAAACATCCATATAGGGAACAGATTACTTGTTCTTTACATTTCTTATCTTGAGCCTCTGGGAAGAAACAGAACTGTAAATGTTTGCCTGGATCCTAATCACAGAGTCTAAAAGACTTAAAAAGTAGAGCATTCAGGGGACAACTTGCAGGTAAAAAGAATTCTTTCTAGAGAGTGTTTCTATAAACTGTGACTGGTCTCTTTCAAAACAGTTCAGCATAAAAGACTGGAATCCCCTCAGGACATGCAACCATCTAAATGGAGTTTGATACCTTATGTCTTTGGCGCAGACTTAGCTACAAGACAGTGACAACTCAAAAATGTGGGAGTTTATGTTACAGATACTGGTTTCAATTGCTGTTATCCCAAACTTTCGATAAATTTAGTTCTTTTTGACTTACTATATTTAGAAACATATTTTTAATTTACATTATTTTTGTCTCTTTCTTTCTTTAATTTAAAACAAAACCCTCTGATTCTCTTTTCTGTCTACAAAATGAAAGCTTCTTCGGATGTTTTCCTTCAAGGTATAATGTTTTTTGGAATGGAAATTCACTGCATGCGACTGCTGAATTTAACTATTAGAGCTTATATGAGAGTGGTGTTTTGTTGGGGTTTTTAGTAATGAGACATCTAAGCATTCTACTCAAGGTACTCCCTAATTAAGTAGAATGGTTACATATTTCTAAAGCATTTGTAGAGTTGATTCAGCAGCCCAAACACTGATTCACTGTGGTTCTGAACTTACTTAAGTTCAAGAGGACCAACATTATTGGATCACATGAATTAAAACAGTTTAGTGTTAAAACATTTCTGCTTCTCTCTTTCTCAATTTGCCATGGGATCCAATAGCATCAGCTGCCCTAAATACCTGCAATACACCCTTTTAGAACTCAGCTCTGACCCTGACATTTGAACCTTTGTGATTTCACTCCAAATTATAAAACCAAATCTGTTCTGATGTTGACCTGAACAAAACTCAATGTCATCATCGATTACTTAAATGCTGTTCCTTATGCAAAAAAAAGTCAGAGTTTTGAAAGGGTTTAAGCTGCATATAGATTTTCAATGCTGTCACTGGATCAACACATTCTTAGCAAACTAGCAAATATACCTAGCTGTGTTCCACTTCTAAACCTTATCTCCATTAGAAATGCAGAGATTTTATTTAAAACAAAAACAAAAAAAAAACAACAAAACAAACAAAAAAACAAACAAAAAAAAAAGGGGGGAAAAAATAAACCCACATAAAGTAAAATCCAAGAAATGTACATACTTAGAGAATGGAATTGCCATTTTACCCTAATAA